TACGTTCTCCCTGATCCGTGTTCGTGAGAGGACACGTTAGGTTGGGCACAGCACTAGAGAGAAAACAACAGATTATTTTCAGGAGAAGGACACGGCAAGAGGCATATTTACTCATTGATATGACAGTTACAATTGAAGAGCAATTAGCTTTCATTGGTCTGCCCATTCAGTGGCGTAATTAGTACCTTCAGGGCAAGAAACCATGAAGGGCCCCCCCCGGCCGGGGCCCTTCCCTCCAAGTCCAGTGGCGGAATGAAAGGGCTCAGTCGCAAGTGCGACCTTTGTGACCCTGGTTGTTCCGCTACTGGTGTCAGTAGTTTTTTTACATTTTTTGTTATAAATATTTTTATACAATTTTTTTTTAGGAGCCCCAGTGGGGGGCTTAGGTGAGATAACAGGAGTCTGAAAAGGAAGGAAGGAAATAAGAGGAAAGAAGGAAAAGAGAAAGGAAAAGAAAGAGGAAGAAAGGAAAGGAAAGGAAAAGAAGGAAGGAAAAGAGAAAGGAAAGAAAGAGGAAGGAAGGAAAGGAAAAGAGAAAAGAAAGAGGAAGGAAGGAAAGAAAAGAAGGAAGGAAAAGAGAAAGGAAAGAAAGAGGAAGGAAGGAAAGGAAAAGAAGGAAGGAAAAGAGAAAGGAAAGAAAAAGAAAGGAAGGAAAAGAGAAAGGAAAGAAAGAGGAAGGAAGGAAAATAGAAAGGAAAGAAAGAGGAAGGAAAAGGAAGGAAAAGAGGAAAGAAAGAGAAAGGAAAGAAAGAGGAAGGAAGGAAGGAAAAAAGAGGAAAGGAAAAAGAAAGGAAGGAAGGAAGGAAGGAAAAGAGAAAGGAAAGAAAGAGGAAGGAAGGAAAAGGAAAGAAAGAGGAAGGAAGACAAAGAGAAAGGAAAGAAAGAGGAAGGAAGGAAGGAAAAGGAAAAAGGAAGGAAGAACAAAGAGAGGAAATGAAAGAAAAGAAGGAAGGAAAAAGGAAAGAAAAAGAAAGAAAAGGAAAGGAAAGGAAAGGAAGGAAAAGAAGGAAGGAAAAGCGAAAGGAAAGAGAGCAAGGAAGGAAAAGAAGGAGAAAAGAGGAAAGAAAGAGAAGGGAAAAGGAAGGAAAAAGGAAAAAAAGAGGAAGGAAGGAAAAGAGAAAGGAAAGAAAGAAGAAGGAAGGAAAAGAGAAAGGAAAGAAAGAGGAAGGAAGGAAAAGAGAAAGGAAAGAAAGAGGAAGGAAGGAAGGAAAAGGAAAGAAAGAAAGAGGAAGGAAAGAAAGAAAGAGGAAGGAAAGGAAAAGGAGGAAGGTAAGAAGGAAAAGAGAAAGGAAAAAAAGGAAGGAAGGAAAGGAAAAGAACGAAGGGAAAGGAAAGAAAAGAAAAAGGAAAGGAAAAGAGGAAGGAAAGAAATAGGAAGGAAGGAAAGGAAAGGAAAGAAGAAAGTGGGTGGGACAGACATAGGAGCAGAGGAGTGGTGAGAGGAGGAAGCGTTGTCGTTGATCCCGCCTCCCCCCTGATGCAGCAGCTGCTCCCTGACAGAGGAGAGCCAGAGCTGCAGGATCGCTTGACCGGACCAGATTAAAAATAGGTAAGTACAAACACCTTTTTTTATACAGGTTAGGCAGAATCGGAAGGAGGGGGTTGGTAACATTTTTTAGAATAGACAGATTAGGGGTTAATGGATTAAAGACAAATAGTCTGTGCACTCCAAGTGCAGTTGTTCTAGATCTGAGGGGAAGCTCTGCTAATTTCTATCATCCAATCACGTGCAAGCAAAAATGCTTTTTTTTTTTCCTTGCACGTGATTGGATATTCTTTGCAAAGGGAAGCTTTACCTCATTTACTATGCTCTGAAGCTACTACACTTATTTTTATTTATTTCAGGTACTTAGATAGTGCCATCAATTTTCATATATATTGTACATTCACATCAGTCCCTAACCCTCAAGGGGCGTACAATCTAAGGTCCCTAACCCTCAAGGGGCGTACAATCTAAGGTCCCTAACTCACATTCATACATACACATACTAGGGACAATTTAGACAGGAGCCAATTAACCTACCAGCATGTCTTTGGAGTGTGGGAGGAAACCGGAGCACCCTGAGGAAACCCACGCAGTCACAGGGTGAACATGCAAACTCCAGGCAGGTGATGCCATGGTTGGGATTCAAACCAACGACCCGAGTACTGCCAGGCGGACATGCTAACCATTTAGTCACTGTGCTTGCAGCATGCACAGTCTATTTGCCTTTAGTAAACCAACCCCATAGTCTTTTCTTCCACTTTAACAATTTAACTTTTGTAAGAAGTGGGGGGCCACAAGAGTAGAATGCTTTACCCCTAGAGATCAGCTTTAACCACTTGCCATCCGCACTATAGAAGTACTGCTACAGGGCAGCATGGCTGTGAAAAATCATATATATACATGTGATTTGCATTTCCGGGTAGGGGCGCACGCTGCTTTTGGCTGCTGGGAATGTCAATCACTGGGTCCCAGCCGGCAATGCCCTGAGAGCGGAGAGATCTGTGTGTAAACAACACGGATCTCTCTCCTGTCACCATGAGAGTTACAAAGCAGCATGTCTCCCTAGTAAAACACAAACAGCACACAGATAACCCTTTAATCGCCCCAGATGTTAACCCCTTCCTACCCAGTGCCATTAGTACAGTGTCCGTGCTTTTCATTAGCACTGATCACTGTATTGGTGTTACTGGGGATGTCAGTGACAGTTAGTCAGTTTCCCCCCCCCCCAGTGTCAGAATGCCCACCACTATTCCTCCCACTGACACCAATGATGGGGCACTATTCCTACCACTAATACCAATGATGGGGCACTATTCCTCCCACTGACACCAATGATGGAGCACTATTCCTCCCACTGACAACCGATGATGGGGCACTATTCCTCCCACTGACACCAATGATGGGGCACTGTTCCTCCCACTGATACCGATGATGAGAGGCACTATTCCTCCCACTGACACCAATGATGGGGCACTATTCCTCCCACTGACACCAATGATGGGGCACTATTCCTCCCACTGACACCAATGATGGGGCACTATTCCTCCCACTGACACCAATGATGGGGCAATATTCCTCCCACTGACACCAATGATGGGGCACTATTCCTCCCACTGACACCAATGATGGGGCATTATTCCTCCCACTGACCACCAATGATGGGGCACTATTCCTCCCACTGACACCAATGATGGGGCACTATTCCTCCCACTGACACCAATGATGAGGCACTATTCCTCCCACTGACACCAATGATGGGGCACTATTCCTCCCACTGACACCAATGATGGAACACTACTATTCCTCTCAACTTGATACCCACTGATACCAATGATGGGGCACTATTCCTCCCACTGATACCAATGATGGGGCACTATCCCTCCCACTGATACCAATGATGGGGCACTATTCCTCCCACAATGATGGGGCAATATTCCTCCCACAATGATGGGGCACTATTCCTCCCACTGACACCAATGATGAGGCACTATTCCTCCCACTGATTCCACTGATACCAATGATGGGGCACTATTCCTCCCACTGACACCAATGATGGGGCACTATTTCACCACCATGATACCAATGATGGGGCACTATTCCTCCCACTGATACCAATGATGGGGCACCTATGGGGCACTATTCCTCCCACTGACACCAATGATGGGGCACTATTTCCTCCCACTGATACAATGATGGGGCAATATTCCTCCCACTGATACCAATGATGGGGCACTATTCCTCCCACTGATACCAATGATGGGGCACTATTCCTCTCCATGTTACCAATGATGGGGCACTATTCCTCCCACTGATACCAATGATGGGGCACTATTCCTCTCCATGTTACAATGATGGGGCACTATTTCCTCCCACTGACACCAATGATGGGGCACTATTCCTCCCACTGACACCAATGATGGGGCACTATTCCTCCTACTGATACCAATGATGGGGTGCACAATATCCTCCCACTGACACCAATGATGGGGCACTATTCCTCCTCCCACAATGATACCAATGATGGGGCCCTATTCCTCCCACTGATACTAAATGATGGGGCACTATTCCTCCAACTGATACCAATGATGGGGCACTAGTCCTCCCACTGATACCAATGATGGGGCACTATTCCTCTCCATGTTACCCAATGATGGGGCACTATTCCTCCCACTGACACCAATGATGGGGCACTATTCCTTCCACTGATACCAATGATGGGGCACTATTCCTCCCACTGATACCAATGATGGGGCACTATTCCTCCACTGATACCAATGATGGGGCACTATTCCTCCCACTGATACCAATGATGGGGCACTATTCCTCCCACTAATACTAAAGATGGGGCATTGTTTACTCCCACTGCTGCCTGGAAAAAATTCCTACCTGCTGGCCACTGTTTGCCCCACCTAAAGTCTGTAGAACAGTAGACTGGCCCTTTGTGTAGAACATTTAGAGACCCCCGGAATACACAATAACAACAAAAATAACGATAAAAAGATTGTTGCATAGGAATAATTCACAACAACTCTGCGTCTGACCACATTTCTTCTTTCATTAAAAAAATAAAAATGGTAAAGGACAACACAGTCAGATTTAGGTCCCCTTCACATGGGGCTGGGGCTCCGTTGGCGTCTACTTGCTCAGTGGGGGGATCTGTCCGCTGAACCCGCTAAGCAGGCAGGAGGCTGGTGCGTGTTCGTTCTTATGCAGAGCAGACACAGCCTCTGTCCTCTATGGGCGGGCGGATGTAGACGGACCGCCTGTCTGATTACACCAGACTGCCATTCGATCCGTTCCATCAGTCGGATGGTGAAACGCCCCCCCCCCCTTTCCCCATCAGTCTTTTATTACCAGATTGGATGAAGGCGGGTGTAAATGGGCACATGTCTGCTTACACCAGCCACTCCATAGAGGAGACTGTTTTTCAGGCGGACTGATTGGACCCTCCAGAAAGGAGGACCCGATCAGTCCGCTAGTGTAAAAGGGGCCTCAGATTCAGACGCTTTGGTAAATATGGCTCAATATGATTGACGTGAAAGATGACATAATGGAGTGATTTACTAAGACTGGAGAGTGCAAAAATCTGGTGCAGCTGTGCATGGCAGCCAATCGGCTTCGAACGTCAGCTTGTTCAATTAAAGTGTTACTAAGCCCCGGACCCTGCATTCACTATATCCGCTCTCCCGGACCTTGCATTCACTATATCCGCTCTCCCGGACCTTGCATTCACTATATCGCTCTCCCGGACCTTGCATTCACTATATCCGCTCTCCCCGGACCCTGCATTCACTATATCCGCTCTCCCTGGACCCCGCATTCACTATATCCGGTCTCCCCGGACCCCGCATTCACTAAATCCGCTCTCCTCGGACCCCGCATTCACTAAATCCGCTCTCCCTGGACCCTGCATATCACGCAATTCACTATATTCGCTCTCCCCGGACCCCATATTCACTATATCCGCTCTCCCCGGACCCTGCATTCATACAGTATATCTGCTCTCCCTGGACCCTGCTTTCACTATATCGCTCTCCCCGGAACCCTGCATTCACTATATCCACTCTCTCCGGTCCCCGCATTTCACCATATCCGCTCTCCCCAGACCCTGCATTCACTATATCCGCTCTCCCCAGACCTGGTGTTCACTATATCCACTCTCCCTGGACCCTGCATTCACTATATCCGCTCTCCCGGGACCCTGCATTCACTTTATCCGGTCTCCCAGAGTACAAACAAGATGGAAAGGTAATTATTTTAGTAAATCTAAACTGCTAAATACCTTTTCTCATCAGCAGTATAGAGCGGTCTTGTGACTTCTATCAGTGTCCAGCAGAGCACTGGTTAAAGCTTGTAGGAGGAGTTTTCATTTTGCTCTAGGAGGATGCAGAACCCCCTGACCTCGTGTCTGGACAGTGCTGATTGGCCCTGTGCTGACGCATGCACTCTCCAAAAGACAGAAAAAAAAAAAACCTCTAGCAATACACACTAAACTGAGCATGTGCAGAATGGCTACGGTTTAGTCTGTCTTATTAGGAGATAAGATGTGGGACATTCGAACAAGAGGAGGAACAGAGCAGTCAGGATCAAACAGCATTTTTACACAATGCGGAGGATTAACCCCTTAGGTTCCACAGTGAGTATAACAAGCATGCTTTACTGCATCTACAGACTGTTTTTGCTGTTGTGGGTTCAGTAACACTTTAAACTTTGGAACTAATGTGATGGCAGAGAAGCAGGGAACACACCTGATTCAGCAGTGGGATCCAGGGCGGGTGCTCTGGCTCCAAAGTGTCCTAAACCAAACACTGGATACAGGATACAAAAAAAGCAGGAAGAGCCGGCAACTCCAAAATCCGTATGAAAGCCTTATTAGTGATATAACCCACATGGAAGAAAAATATATTTAAAATTAAATTGAAATATATTTTAAAAAAATATTCTTCCCAAATATATTGACATATATTTGAAATGCTACAATTTTGCCATATTCAATATATTTCAGTAAATATATACACACTGTATGTTGAAATGCGTTTTTAAAATATATTATATATTTAAATATATTCTTCAGATTTTTTTTTAACATATAAAAAAAGTCATTTTAACACATTTTTATATATATTTGTAAATGCATTCCAAAAATGTAGATTTGTATTTTTAAAGACATACAGTATATTTGAAATGTGTTTTAAAAAATATTTTTCATATATTTTGTAATAAAAACACATTTCAACATACAGTGTGTATATATATATATATACACTGTGTGTGTATGTATGTGTGTGTGTATGTGTATGTATATATATATATATATATATATATCAGGGGCGGACTGACAACTCATGGGGCCCCCGGGCAATAGGGGATCATGGGGCCCCTGTGTCCTTGCCCAAACTCAAAAAAGCCTATGAAAAAGGTACCAGGGGCATCTCATGGGGTCCCCTACGGCGGGCCCTCGGGCAGTGCCCGAGTTTTTCCATATGGTCAGTCCACCCCTGATATATATATACATACATATACACACACACAGTATATACACACAGTATATATATAATACATACACACACACACATATATACACTTCATATGTATATTTTTAAAAATATATTTTTGTTAAATATATTCTTCAGATTTTTTTTTACATAACAAAAACGCATTTTAACAAATATTTTTACATATATTTGTAAATGCATTCCAAAAATGTAGATTTGTATTTTCAAAGACATACAGTATATTTTAAATGTATTTTAAAAAATAGTTTTCATATATTTTGTGATAAAAGCACATTAAACACATTTCAACGTGCAGTGTATATATATATATATATATATATATATATATATATATATATTATATTTATTTATTTATTTATTTATTTTTAAATATATTGAATATGGCCAAAAATTGTAGCATTTCAAATATATGTCAATAAATTTGGGAAGAATTTTTAAAAAATATATTTCAAATATATATTTTTCTTCCATATGGGAGGAGTGACATAAAAGCCTGCCAACGCGTTTCGGCAAGCAGCCTGGCGTAGCCAGGCTACTTGCCGAAACGCGTCAGCATGCTTTTATGTCACTCCTGTATCACTAATAAAACTTCCATGTGGATTTTGGCGTTGTCGGCTCTTCCTGCTTTTTTGTATCATTAAGCATTGGCAATAAAACCTGGAAGCTGATTGGTTTCTATGCAGAGCTGCACCAGATTTTGCACTCCCCAGTTTTAGTAAATCAGCCCCAATGGGTAAGTGACACGCACATCAAGCCAAGCTGTCCAGAATGAGGACTACACAGAAATGACTTACCCTTTAAAATGTAGTCCGTTAATAACATGGGAACCTTTTCACTGTCTTCTTTCATTGCATACAATACTGCAGAGACAACACAGACAGTTAGCATTGCACAGTACTAATCACTGAGACAAACCAGTATGGACATGGGGGGTCCGGGCCAGGGACGGGCTAGCAACTCATGGGGCCCCCGGACAGTAGGGGATCATGGGGCCCCTGTGTCCTCGCCCACACTCAAACCACACCCAAAACAGCCTATGAAAGGTACCAGGGGCATCTCATGGGGCCCCTTACTGACCCTGGGCCCTCGGGCAGTGCCCAAGTGCCGGGATGGTCAGTCCGCCCCTGGTCCAGGCATGCCCACATGGAAGAGAAATATATTTTCAATAGATTTAGAAAAATAATGATATATGTGACATATATTTACAATACTAATATATTTTAACATGTATTCTAAAAAATGTAAATTTAAATATATTTTCTAAAAGCATCTATTTAAAAGGGATCCAGCTCCGGCATCACCCGGGCCGGTTCTTTGCTGGTCTTCGGGTCCCTGGTGGCGCCATGTTTACTAAGGGAAGCCAACTGTGACTCACACCCAGCTTCCCACTGAGCATGCTCGAGTCGCTCTGCGCTTTGTGAACGGTCCTGCAGCATTCTGGGACCCGTGACATGTCCCAGAAGGCTGTGGGCAAAGAAGGGGGGAGCTGTCAAAACCAGGTACCCACTCCCACCCCCCAAAAAAAATAAATATGCCCAAATGTGGTACGGCGGTGGGGGGGGGGGGGTTCTAGGCAGAACAGTAGAAAGTCCCCTTTTGGGTGAAGTTCTACTTTAATATGTACAGTAAGGCCAGGTTCACACCTATGCAGTTTGCGTTTGATGCGTTTCTGCAGTGCTTTGTTTCAGTGCGTTTTTTTGCACATGCATTTTTGCCGCGTTTTTGTTTTTTCAACTTGTTACTGGGCAGAATAAAACGCAAAACGCATCAAAAACACAACAAAAATGCATTTATTCTGGGCAGAATAATACTGATTAAAAACACGCTACATGCTTTTCTGAAGCATCTCCATTAAAGTCTATAGAACCAAAAACGCAACGTTTTGCATTTTTTAAAACATTTTTTTTTTTTGTTGCTGGGCAGATTAAAATGCATAAAAAATGCAGCAAAAACGCACTACATGCTTTCCTGCAGCGTTTGATGCATTTCTGCAGTGCTTTTTTCAGTGTGTTTTTGCACATGCATGTTTGCTGCGTTTTTTTTTTATTTTCAACTTGTTACTGGGCAGAATAAAACGCAAAATGCATCAAAAAACACATTAAAAACGCATTTATTCAGGGCGGAATAAAGTGCATGAAAAACGCGCTACACGCTTTTCTGCAGCGTTTACAAAGAAGTCCATAGAATCAAAAATACAACATTTTGCGTTTTAATTTTTTTTTATGTCGCTAGGCAGATTAAAATGCAGCAAAAACGCACTACATGCATTTTTGGTTCTATAGACTTCAATGGAGACCCTGCAGAAAAGCATGTAGTGCGTTTTTGCTGCATTTTTTATGCATTTTAATCTGCCTAGCAACAACAAAAAAAAAAGTTTTAAAAAACGCAAAACATTGCATTTTTGATTCTATAGACTTCAATGGAGACGCTGCAGAAAAGCAACGTTTTGCGTTTTTTTTTAAATATTTTTTTTTTATTTTGCTGGGCAGATTAAAATGCAGCAAAAACGCACTACATGCTTTCCTGCAGTGTCTCCATTGAAGTCTATAGAACCAAAAAAATACAACGTTTTGCGTTTTTTAAAACTTTTTTTTTGTTGTTGCTAGGCAGATTAAAATGCATAAAAAAATGCAGCAAAAACGCACTACATGCTTTTCTGCAGCGTCTCCATTGAAGTCTATAGAACCAAAAACGCAACGTTATGCGTTCTTTAACCACCTTCCGCCCGCCATATAGTCCAATGACGGACGCAAGGTGGGACGTCCTCCCATTCTAACCTATGCTTGGCTCCGGGAGCGCGCAGCGCGGCGATCGTCCTTCGGACATAGCAGATCACCGATCACGGAAAGAGCCGAAGATGTCGGCTCGGTCATGTGATCAGCTGTGTCCAATCACAGCTGATCACATGTAAATAGGGAAATGCCGGTTATCGGCATTTCTCTCCTCTCGAGCTGTCATGCTGACAGAGGAGAGGAGAGCCGGTAATCGGCTTTCCATGGAGGGGACATGTACACTGATCATCAGTGTAACCCCAGCAGTGCCACCTGTCAGTGCCCATCAGTGCCACATCAATGCCACATATCAGTGCCCATCTGAGCTGCCTTTCAGTGTCACCCATCAGTGCCAGTCAGTGCCACCTATCAATGCCAATCAGTGCCCCCTATCAGTGCTGCCAATCAGTGTCACCTATCAGTGCCAGTCAGTGCCGCCTATCAGTGCCTGTCAGTGCCGCCTAACAGTGCCCATCAGTGCCACCTATCAGTGCTGCCTATCAGTGTCATGTATCAGTGCTGCCTTTCAGTGCCCATCAGTGATGCCTGTCAATGCCAATCAGTGCCACCTACCAGTGCCTCATCAGTGCGCATCAGTGCCACCTATCAGTGTCCATCAGTGCAGCCTATCAGTGTCCATCAGTGCAGCCTATCAGTGCCCATCACTGCAGCCTCATTAGTGCACATCAGTGAAGGAGAAAAATCACTTATTTACAAAATTTTATAACAAAAACTAAGAAAAACATTTTTTTCAAAAATTTTCAGTGGTTTTTGGTTTGTTTAAGAAAGCATAAAAAACCCAGAGGTGATTAAATACCACCAAAATAAAGCTCTATCTGTCACAAAAAAATGATAAAAATTTCATATGGGTACAGTGCTGCATGACCGCGCAATTGTCAAAGTGTGATGGCGCTGAAAGCTGGAAATTGGCCTGGGCAGGAAGGGGGTAGAAGTGCTTTGTAGGCAAGTGGTTAAAAATGTTTTTTTTTCGTTGTTGGTGGGCAGATTAAAATGAAGCAAAAACGCACTACATGCTTTCCTGCAGCGTCTCCATTGAAGTCCATAGAACCAATAACGCAAAGTTTTGTGTTCTAAAAAAAGTCCCCGACCCTTTCCAAAAAACGCAGCGGGTGAAAACGCAGAGATGTGAACGTGTCCCATAGGAAATTGTGTTAAATGGATTGCTGTGCGTTTCTGCAAAACGCAGCTGGGTGTGAACCTAGACTAACACTTGTTTTACTGCCATCACTGATCACACTAGAGAAATCTCTATTTTTTTTTCCTTTTTACCTTTAAAATATGCAAGAAAAATGAAATATCTCTTGGAAGAAAATAATTTCTTGCTACATTGAAAGGATGCGCCATCCAATGTCCTTCTGTCTGCAGGTGTCATAGTGGGTCAGGTGTCAGGTTTAGATTTCCCATAATGCAATCCACTAAATCCAAAATTCAGTAACAAAACAAGAATACCGCTGTGCTGTCACATGGGGGCGCTATTGTTCCATAAAAACATCAGCTGACCATGGTTCAAGAAAAATAAAGTGGCAGAAGGATGATCCAATGCTTGAACCCCAAGCAGGGGCGGACTGACAAATCATGGGGCCCCGGGCAATAGGGGATCATGGGGCCCCTGTGTCCTTGCCCAAACTCAAAAAAGCCTATGAAAAAGGTACCAGGGGCATCTCATGGGGCCCCCTACTGACCCTGGGCCCTCGGGCAGTGCCCAAGTTTCCAAATGGTCAGTCCGCCCCTGACCCCAAACATGCCAAGGTAGCAGCCTTACTGTTTGTCAGCATCTGCAGGTCTTCCACCGATGGGGGCGTGGCTTTCTTCTCGTACGGAATGACGGTGTTCAAATACTACGTGAAGAAAGAGGAGGAAATATTAGACATGGAGGAGGAGTGCTTCCCTGTTACCAAACTAGGCTTTAGATCAGGGGTCTCCAAACTGCGGCCCAGGGGCCAGATGCGGCCCTTTGCTTGCTTTTATCGGCCCTTGGGGGCGCTATTTTATGCGCTGATACCAACAATTGGGCATAATTCCCTCCATTGACACCAATGATGGAGCACAATTCCTTACAATGACACCAACAATGGGGCCCAATGACACCAATGATGAGGCACAATTCCTCACACTAATACCAACAATGAGGCACAATTCCTCACAATGATACCAACAATGGGACCCAATGACACCAACGATGAGGGCACAATTCCGCACATTGACACCACCACTGGGGCCCAATGACACCAATGATGGGACACAATTCCTCACAATGACACAAACAATGGGGCCGATGATACCAATGATGGGGCACAATTCCTCACAATGACACCAACAATGAGGCCCAATGACGGGGCACAAATTCCTCACAATGACACCAACAATGGGGCCCAGTGATACCAATGATGGGGCACAATTCCTCACAATGACACCAACAATGGGGCACAATTCCTCACAATGACACTAACAATGAGGCCCAATGACAACAATGATGCGGCACAATTCCTCACAATGACACAAACAATGGGGCCCGATGATACCAATGACAGGGCACAATTCCTCACAATGACACCACCAATGGGGCCCAATGACACCAATGATGGGGCACAATTCCTTACAATGACACCTCCAATGGGGCCCAATGACACCAATGATAGGACACAATTCCTCACAATGACACCACCAATGGGGCTCAATGACACCAATGATGGGGCACAATTCCTCACAATGACACTAACAATGGGGCCCAGTGATACCAATGATGAGGCACAATTCCTCACACTGACACCAACAATGGGACACAATTCTTCACAATGACACTAACAATGGGGCACAATGACACCAATGACGAGGGCACAATTCCTCGCAATGACACAAACAATGGGCCCAATGACACCAATGATGGGGAACAATTCTTCACAATGACACCAACAATGGGGCATATATTAAATGTGGGTTTAATACCACTTTAACTTTGACACAAGAAGCAATAGTAACACATTTCAGCACTGGAACGCCCAGAATCGCACGCTTTCCTATCATCGCAGACTCACCTGCTTGTCATTCCCAGAATTCCCAAACGTCTGTCTGATTCCCGTCTGCAGGATGTTGGAGATTCCCTCCATGCTGAAACGCTGCAGGAAAGCCCAGGAGAGGTCAGGATGGACACAGAAAGGTGGGGCACACCAACATACCTGCGGTACGGAGTCGGCCATTCACCTACCTTCATGGGCATCTGGCCGTGTCGCTCGGAGCGGTTGCTCTGCAGGCTCAGTCCTTTCTCTTTCCTCCTTTTCTTCACCAGCTCCCTGTGTTCCTTCTGCTTGTTCTGGACCTCCAGGAGAGCCGTGATGAAGGAATTCTTCACCTCCTTCTCAAACTCCAGCTCGTCCCGTCTAGCCAGCTGCTGCACCAGCTCCTCCGAGTAGTCGCAGATGGCTCGCTCCACGCGCTCCAGCAGCTGGGTCAGCTCCTCTCGGCTCATGTGTTGAAGTCCTGCTGGTGGTCAGAAGATGGAGAACGCCCATGGTTATACATCACAGAGATCAACGAAGGACGAACATGGCACTCCAGTTATCACAGACACATCCGTGTCATGAGAAAGACAAAAAAAACGCTGGCGAAAGCGCAGAGCGTTGTAAATACTCACATGCAGTGGGTTTCCTTTCTATAAATGATTATATATCCCCCTCCTGCCCACCCGCATGGAAGAAAAATATATTTGAAATATATTTTAAAAATATTCTTCCCAAATATATTTTTATTATATATTTGAAATGCTACAATTTTGGCCGTATTCAATATATTTAAAAAAAATTATATATATACACTGCATGTTGAAATGCATTTTTATTACAAAATATATGAAAAAACATTTTTAGAAATACATTTCAAATATACTGTATGTCTTTAAGAATACAAATCTAATGTTTTGTCATTTTTGGAATGCATTTACAAATATATGTTAAAATTACTTTTTTATATGTTAAAAAAAATCTGAAGAATATATTTAAACAATATATTTTTTTTTAAATATTTTTCATATATTTTGTAATATATAAAAAAATCATTTCAACATGCAGTATAATATTATACATGGAGATCATATCTCCCCCTTATGTATTATACATGGAGATCATATCCCCCTTATGTATTATACATAGAGATCATATCCCCCCATAATGTATTATACATGGAGATCATATCCCCCCTTAAGTATTATACATGGAGATCATATCCCCCCTTATGTATTATACATGGAGATCATATCCCCCCTTATGTATTATACATGGAGATCATATCCCCCCCCTTATGTATTATACATGGGAGATCATATCCCCCCCTTATGTATTATACATGGAGATCATATCCCCCCTTATGTATTATACATGGAGATCATATCCCCCCCTTATGTATTATACATGGAGATCATATCCCCCCTTATGTATTATACATGGAGATCATATCCCCCCTTATGTATTATACATGGAGATCATATATCCCCCCTTATATATTATACATGGAGATCATATCCCCCCTTATGTATATACATGGAGATCATATCCCCCTTATGTATTATACATGGAGATCATATCCCCCCTTATGTATTATACATGGTGAATCATATCCCCCCTTATGTATTATACATGGAGATCATATCCCCCCTATGTATAATACATGGAGACATATCCCCCCTTATGTATTATACATGGAGATCATATCCCCCTTATGTATGTATTATACATGAAAAATGGAGATCATATCCCCCCCCTTATGTATTATACATGGAGATCATATCCCCCCCTTATGTATTATACATGGAGATCATATCCCCCCTTATGTATTATACATGGAGATCATATCCCCCCATTATGTATTATACATGTAGATCATATCCCCCTTCCCCCCTTAGTATTATACATGAGAACAAATCCCCCTTAAAAATTAAACATGGGACATAACCCCCCAATAAAAAAAAACATTAAAACCCCCCCTTTTAAAAAAATTATATAAACATGGAATCAATCCCCCCAAATTAAAATACATGTAACAATTTCCCCCTTAAAAAAAAAACATAATCAAAAACCCCCCCCCTTATTATAAAAAAAACAAATTTTCCCCCCAAAATTTAAAAAAAAGAGAACTTCCCCCCTAAGTATTATACAGGGGATCAAACCCCCCTTAAATTATACATTGGGGCATATCCCCCCTTATTTATTAACATGGGACAAAATCCCCCCAAAAGAAATTTTACATGAGACATACCCCCTATTTTTATACAAGGAATCAATCCCCCCAATTATTTACAAAAAAATCAATCCCCCCCTATGAAATTTTAAAAAATGGGGACATATCCCCCTTATTATTTAAATGGAACAAACCCCCCTATTATTAAACAGGGGAACAATCCCCCCCAATTATAAAAAGAATCATATCCCCCAAGTTTTAAAAAATAACAAAACCCCCCCTTTATGATTATACAAAGATCAAAACCCCCCTTTTTATTAAACATGGGATCATACCCCCCTAATTTTTTAAATTGGGAAACAATCCCCCCCTTTTTATTTAAATGGAATCATACCCCCCCTTTTTTTTATACATGGGAACAAACCCCCCCCTTTTTAAATTATCAAGAGATCAAAATCCCCCCCATGTATTAAACATGGAGCATATCCCCCCTTGTTTTAACAGGGGATCATTCCCCCCCTTTTGTATTATACAAGGAAAACCATCCCCCCTTAATTTTTTAACGGAATCATATCCCCCCCCTTGTAAAAACATGGGGAACATACCCCCTAAGAAATTACATAATCATATCCCCCCCTTTTGAAATTAACATGGGGATCATAACCCCCTTTTTGATTAAAATTAACAATCCCCCCTTATGTATTATAAAATGGGGTCAATCCCCCCTAAAGTATTTAATGGGATCATATCCCCCCTTTAATTTTTTATACATGGGATCAAATCCCCCCTTAAGTTTAACATTTAGACATACCCCCCTTATTTTTTAACAGGAGACAACCCCCCCTTTTGTATATACATGGGGATCAAAACC